TTCTGCATTGACTGTGTGGGTTTTCTCCATCGTAGCCTTTTGAAAGACTGTCTGAGACCTCTGGATGTCTTTCTAATGAGCTTCCATATTCATTTTAATAAATCAGTAAGATGTGCTGCTTGCAGAAAATAATGTAATTCTGTAATACAAATTAGACCAGCCTTCGATGTCTTTGAAATGTAGTGTGTTAAAAATGGTACGTACAGGTTAAAAGATACAGATTCGGAACACCAGGATTTACATGAAATTATCACACAGACTTTGATAGAGCCCTGGACTGATTCAAAAGAGCACATTTCATATGAAGCTGTCTCATTCCCTTTGAAAGCACCTTGATCTTCTTGCAGTCATCTATTAATTATATCACAGATAAGGTAAATAAAAGCGTGGCAATATGGAGATCACAGCCTTCTTTTTTCTTGTGGAGACTAAAGGTATGGGTTCCTGTGAAGTCTGTGGGCAATGAGGGATGATAAAGGCGTTCGAGAACCGAGAGCCTGTATTTATTTTGACACGTGATGGAGAGATCTGAAGTTCAATAGCTGAGAGCAAAACTGAGAGGGGACAGCCCAGACGTGGCAGAGAAAAGGGTCCAGGAAGGACCGCAATTTTCGGCCAGGGCTCACAGTGAGGGAACTCATCCTTTTAAAATGATTGCTGTTGTTTGTATTTTAATGGACTTCATTTTTGGAGCAGTTTTAGGTTCAGAAAAATTGAGGGGAAAGTGCACAGGCTTCCTATCCACCTCATGCCCCGCCCGCCATGTTCACAGCCTCCCCCACTGTCAGCACCCCCCACCCCAGGGGTACACTTTTACAATCACCCTAAGCTAGCAAGTCACTGTCATCTAACACCACAGCTGACAGTACGTCCTCTTCAATGCCTTTAATTAAACAAATGGTACACACCCCACACACTAGCTTAATCTTGCTGCACTGCGATAACAAAGCGCCATCAGCCTGGAGGCTCATGAACAACAGAAATCTACTGCTCACAGCTCCAGAGGCTGGAAAATCCAAGACAAGTCAGGGGCAGCTTCCGTGCCTGCTGAGGGAGCTTTCTGGTTCACAGATGGAGACTTTATATATATATGTTTTTTATTGCATTTTAGGTTTAGGGGTATATGTGAAGAACATGCAGGATTTTTGCATAGGTACATACATTGCAATGTGGTTTGCTGCCTTCCTCCCCGTCACCTATATCTGGCTTTTCTCCTCATGTTATCCCTCCCCAACCTCCCTAGTCCCCACTGTCCCTCCTGTATTTCCCCCAAACAGACCCCAGTGTGTGATGCTCCCCTCCCTGTGTCCATGTGTTCTTATTGTTCAACACCTGCCTATGAGTGAGAACATGTAGTGTTTGATTTTCTGTTTTCGTGTCAGTTTGCTAAGAATGATGGTTTCCAGGTTCATCATGTCCCTACAAAGGACATGAACTCATCATTTTTTATGGCTTACTGTGTCCTCGAGGGGCAGGAGGGGCGCTCCAGGACCGGGGCACGGATCCCATTCACAGGAGAGCTGCCTTCCATGACAATCACCTCCGAAAGATCCCACCTCCTCACACCAACATCTTTGGGATTAGGATTTCGACATATGCATTCCAGGGAGACATGCGCATCTGCTCCGTTGCAAACAGTGGCAGTGGTTCCCCAACACCTGTGTGCCTCCACCACCTGGAAACGCAGGATGTGTCCTGGAAGCCCGTGCTCATGGTCAGCGTCTGTGGGTGTGCTGCTGAGGACCCCACAGCTAAGGTGATGAGGAGCACCACCAGTCCCAGAATGCAGGAGAACAAACCAGCACCTTCTCCCTGATCTACGAGACCGAATTCTAGGGTCTCCTCAGGAACTTATCAATGTGTTTAAGTGAAGTCAGGTTTGTCTTTGGGGGAAATCCTTGACTTACGCCTAAGCTCCAAAGTGTTCCAAGGTGTCCGTACTCCCTCTGAAGAATCTGATCGCCTCATCCGTATCCAAGCCCACCCCATCATGAAGATGGACCCTGGCTTCTAAATCTGTGTTTAGTAAGAGCTCAAGGCGAGGCCTAGTATCTTAGCCTGCTGGGACGGCCATAAGGAGTGACACACACTGGGGCTTCAACAGCAGAAACCCATTCTCTCACAGCTCTGGAGGCTGGAAGTCCAAGACCAAGGTGTCAGCCAGGTTGGTTCCCACTGGGGCCTCCATCCACGGGGAGCAGATGGAGCCTCCGCCCCATGTCCTCCCATGCTCATCTCCCTGCGTGGCTGTGTCCTAGCTCCTTTTCTTATAAGGACACCAGTCATTTGGGGTTAGGCCCACCCTAGTGACCACATTTTAACTCATTTGGAGACCCACCTCCAGACACAGTCACATTCTGAGGTGATGGAACTTAGGGCTTCAGCAGGTGAGCGTGGTGGGGTGGAGGCCCAGTGCAGCCCCCAGCACCCAGGATGTCACGCGTTTGGGGAGCACCCTGCAGGGCCGCAGGAGTGACGCCTCTGACAGTGGACTGGCTGTGCACCTCAGCAGAGGCAGTCGGGGAGTCCTGCTGTGCTCTCCTCAAGAGGCTCAGCTCTTTGTGAGTCATCTGAAAACTGCTCTGCCTTTCCCTAACACTCACCATGGGCAGTGCCCATAAAGCTTCAGCCAACTGTGATGTGATGCAGGAGAAACCTCCCACAGAACGCAGGCGGGAAGAATACCTTGCACTATTCAAGGAATGACCTGCTTTTTCTTTTCTTCGGTAACTGAGGGGCAGCCCTTGAAGGGGGCTGTGGGCCTTCAGCAAACAGCACCAGCTGCACCACAGAGCATGTGGGGAACAGCTCTGGGCCCCCATGGGGCCCCAGCCTGGAAATGCCGCAGTCCCACAGGATCCATGCCTCCGGAACACCTGCAGTCTAGTGGGAGAAGCATGCCGTCAAAACAGAAACACAAAACCATGTGACAAGTGGTGCGGCCGATGGAGAAACGGCCGGGTAAGGGGTCACGGTGTGTGGGTGTTGGGAGGATAGAGTCAGGGAAGTCCCCCTTGGAGCAAAGAGGCTCAGTCTGCAGGACACCTGGAGGAGAGTGTCCTTGGCATAGGGCGTTCGGTGGGCTCTCAGAGCAGGAGCAAGTCCCTGTGGCCGGAGAGAGCCACGGGACTCAGTGCTCAGGGCCTGGAAGGCCAGTGGGAGGCCAGGCCTCTACCCAGGCAAGGCTGGAGTTACCGGAGGCTGGAGCAGCAGTGGAAGGATCGGATTGACAACAGGTTGTGTCTGCTCGGGCTGCTGTACTGAGGGTAGCATGGGGGATGCTTGGAAGGAGGCTGAGGACACTGACTCTGAGCAGCCAGCACAGCCACAGGGGAGGTGGGGAGCAATGCGGGGACCCTGAGTGCATTTTAAAGGGGCCACCAAAGAGATATGCAGACCAATCCTACACGGGGTGCAAGAGGACGTGGAGAGTCAGGGGTGGTCCAGACTCGGGCCTGGCGGCTCGTGTCCTCACGTCCCTGTCACCAGCCCAGCAGCTGGCAGGTAACAGAGCCGAAGCAGGTGTTTGCCAAGTTGGTGTTTCCTGTGTAATCTGTTTTCTTTTGTGTTCCCAATTTTGTTTCCAGGCGCGTGTGTGTATTAAATGTGGCTGTTGGTACATTTGCTTCCGCTTCCGCTGTTTCCTACCGTACACAGACTATATTCACCTTCCAGTGTATGTGCCTCCACTGCAAAGCCCCCTGAGTACTTACTTCTAGAAATAGATGGGAAATAAAGAAACCAACTCAAGCAAGTGCATGCTTTGAATATCAACCTTACGCTTAATGCGTTGTGTTTAGGCAGAAGCCAAGTTCATAGCCTTATTCTTAACTGTGACTGTTTATGTGTTTTTATAGCTTCAACCTGATGTAGCTTTCAGAGCTTTTCAGAAAACTCTATACCTTTGTGTCTCTAAAAGGCTCTGAATGAATGACCTCATGACACAAAGTCTTCCTGAGACCCACACATGCATTCACTCTGCAAGTGTGTGCCAGCCACCTGCAGGTTCCGGGTCCTGCAGGTAAAACAACACAGGAGTCAGGTGGGACTCAGTCTCCCTGGGCAGAGGGAGCGAGATAAAAAGTGTGGAGGTGGTAGTTGTGATTCTGTATGTAAATTCAGGATGAAAATTTTTTTTTAGAAAATCTTTATCAGAAGCAACTCCATGCTGGGCACGGTGGCTTATGCCTGTGATCCCAGCACATTGGGAGGGAGACAGATCCCTTGAGTTCAGCAGTTTGAGACCAGCCTGGCTAACATGGTAAAACCCATCTCTATTTAAAAAATACAAAAATTAGCTGTGTAGAGTGGTGCTCAGCTGTAGTCCCAGATACTTGGGAGGCTCAGTTGGGAAGATTTTTGAGCCAGGGAGGTCGAGACTGCAGTGAGCTGTGTTCATGCCACTCCACCCCAGCCTGGGCGACAAAGCAAGACTATGGAAAGAAATAAAGAAGAAGGAAAGAAAGAAAAAGCAAGCAAGCAAGCAAGAAAGGAGGAAGGAAGGAAGGAGGGAGGGAGGGAGGGAGGGAAAGAAAGAAAGAAAGAAAGAA